TTGTCCCTCCACTGGTCCTGCTTTCACTGTGGAGGCCTCACTCACTCCTCAGCTACTTCCTGATCATAGAAGTTGGAAAACAGAGCCGAACTGTCAGCCCGATGTGCAAAATCAGCCTCGGTCTTGTGTTGTCAAGAGCTGCGTTATTCTTTCACCACCTAGGGCGTTGCAGCCCAGACACCGAGTCCCACCCACCCTGCCCAGACTTCAGGGATCCGTGCTTCCAGCCCATGAGCCGTGAGGGTCTCTGCTCAGCTGCGCTGCTTCCTCATGTGTGGCCTCTAAACTGTGTCATGCTCAGTTATTTCAACAAAGGAGTGTTTTTAAAGCAAAACCATTTAATCCTTTAAAACTGTTGTGTTTTTTTTTTACAACTGTGTACAGGTCTTTGGGAATAAGTTTTCATTTTTCATGGGTAAATTCCGTGCCATTCCTCGGTTAAATAAAAAGTGTAGGTTTAATTGTACAAGAACTATCAAACAGATTTCTCAAGAGATTGTGCCATCTGCACTGCCACCAGCAGAGTCTGTGAACTCCATGTCTCTACCTTCCCTTGGTGTCTCCAGTTTTTTTAATTTACCACATTATTTGGTACATAGTATTATCCTATGGTTGGCTCTAATCTGCATTTCCACTATCACTCACAGGTTAAGTATCCTTTCATGTGCATACTGACCATTCTTTTATCTTTTTTTTTTGCAAAGGACCAGTGTCACAGTGTGCAACCATGGTAGCATTGAGAATGAACAATTCCTCAGAGACAAGACTTAGTTCAATCACCAAGGAGTGATTGCCATAAACTGGGTGGCTTAGAAGCAGCAGAAATTTATTTCTCACAGTTCTAGAATGTAGAAAATCCAAGAGCACCAGAATTAGGGAGACCCCCAGGAGAAGCTCCGCAAGCTGAGAACTCTCTGGCTTTCATTTGGAATATCAGCATAAGTGAAAAAAAAAAAAAAAAACCAGAAGAAAAACAGCATGGGCAAGGAGCTGTCTCAAGGGTGGGCAGTTTTTCTTGGGGAAAGGGAAAGGACAACGGCCAGACACAACATGCTTCACTAAATTTCTTGTTGTTTAACCATTTATTTCTCATAGAACCTGTGGGCTTTTGCCCTGCAGTTTAACCATTCACTCCTCAGCCAAGTCCCTCCCAGACCAGTTCAGTCTTTTACCCATTTCTTATTAGATTGTTCTTGTTCCTGTTATTGAGTTGGGAGCATTTTTTATATATTTTGTATATAAACTCTTCATCAGATGCATGTATTATAAATAATATCTCCTAGACTGGGGCTTCTTTTTCACTTTCTCATCTATGTCTTTCAAGTAGCAAAAGCTTTTACTTTCAATGAGAGCCAATTTATGTATTTTCTTCTTTCATGATTCTTGCTTTCTGAGTCACATTGATATTCTCCCATATTTTCTTCTAGAAGCATTACAACTTCTGATTTTTACAGCTAAGGTAGCATCCATTTTTCATTTATGGAACAAGTGAAGTAAAACATGGCACTTTGGTAAAAAATCAGTCAGTCATGTATAGGTGCACATATTTCTGGTCTCTCTATTGTGTTCTGTAAATCTATAAGTCTACTATTGACTGCTATAACGTTATAAGTCCTGAAACTGGATTGTATCAGTCCCTTTGTCTTGGCCCACTAAAGCTGCTATCACAAAATTCCATAAACTGGGTGGCTTAGAAGCAGCGGAAATTTATTTCTCATAGTTCTAGAATGTGGAAAGTCCAAGATCAAGGTATTAGCATGTCCAATGTCTGTGGAGGGCCCACTTCTAAGTTATGAGTTCTAAACTCTTATGGTTTGAATCTAAAATCTCTCCCAAAGGCTCATGTGTTGCAAGTTTGGTCTCCAATGTGTCAGTGTTCATAGGTGGGGCTTTGGGTGAGTGATTGGATCCCCAGGACTCTAACTTCATTCATGGATTAATCCACAAATGAGTTCATAGCTGAATGGGTTTTGGGGAGGCAGGGTCTAGCTATAGGGAGTGGGTCATGGAGGAATGAACTTGGTGACTAGTTCCCAGCCCCTTCCTCTCTGATTCTTTCCTTCTCTCCTCTTCCTGACTGCCATGAGGTGGGCAATTTTCCTCTACCATACTTTTCTGCCCTGATGTTTCTGTCAACCACTGACAGAAACCATGCGTCAAAATGAACCTTTTTCCTCTATGCTGATAGTCTCAGGTATGTTGTCACAGTGATGGGAAGCCACCTAACATATAAACAACAGCTTGTAGCTGTGTCCTTGTGTGCTGGCAGGGCAGGGGCCTCTCTGACTTCTTAAAAGACCACTAGGCCTCCACCCTCATAGCCTAATCACCTCCCAAAGGACCTACCTCCCAACAACATCACATTGGAGGCTAGGATCTCAACCTATGAATGTGGAGGGCAACAAAAATTCAGACTATGGTATTTTCTAACTTTGATTTTGTTTTTCAAAACTGGCTTGGCTATTTTAGTTTTTTTGTTTTGCTTTGTTTTTTGTTTGTTTTTGTATTGCCACATACATTTTAGAATCAGTTTGACAATTTGTACCAAAACAGAGGCCTGATGATACTGTCATTGGGAATGTACTCATATGTGAGACAATTTTAAGAGATTTAACTTCAAAATAGTGAGTTTTTCAACATAGAAAGATACTATATCTCTACATTTATTCCATCTTTAATTTTTCTCAGCAATATTTTGTAGACAGAAGTCACATATATTTTATTATATTTATCTCTTATTTCATGGGTTTGGTGTGATTGCAAATAGTATTTTAATTGCAATTTCTATTTGCTAGTATTCAGAAATACAATTGGTTTTACATGGTGGTTTTCACCCAGGAACTTGCTAAACTGTGTTAGTTCTGATAGCTTTTTTTTTTTTTTTTACAGGTCCTTGCAACTGTGTGTGTGGAAAACCATGCTCTCTGTGAATAAATATATTTTTATTTCTTCCTTTCTGATCTATATGTCATTTAGCTTTTGTGTATGTGTGTGTGTGTGTGTGTGTGTGATACTGGAGATTGAGATCAGAACCTTCACACTAAGCCATATTCTCAGCCCATTTTTTTTACTTCTTAAATTGTGAAGCAGAGCCTCACTATGTTGCTAAATTGCCCAGACTAACTTGAACCTTCCTACTTGAGCCTCCAGAGTGCTGGGATTACAGGTGTGCACCTGCTATTCAGTTCTTTGCCTTGCCTCATTGCATTGGCTGGAACCTCCTGTGCCATGCTGGGTAGAAATAGAAGGCACACACCTCAGTCAAAGTGTACCAAGAGTACCCTTTTAATTAATAATGTTACCATGGCATGGGGTAGATTACCAGCACCCCTCTCCCATGGCCAAGAAATCCATCCCTATAGTCAAGGACACAAGCAGCCCCAGTCCAATCCCCATGTTCCGCTAGGATTCTTTCTGGCATGATGTCAGCACAAGCAGGGACAATCAATAGGTAGGAGCTAATGTAATTTTGACAGGATGGATTTTTAAAGAATTGCTCACTAGATATTGAAGATTCAAAAAGATAAAGAGTATGTGAAGGTGTTACAGACGAAGCAACTGAGGACTGGCCAGCCCCAGAGCCAGGAAGCGAAGGGAGGAGAGTAGAATGATTAATATTCAGAAACTATGGGGCCATAGAGCCGCAGCCCAGACCTCTGGGGAGCGGCATTCAGCCCAACGTGGCCAGTGTCTCAGACAGGAGACAAGGAGCTGGTTTTCCAAGTGCTGGGAAAACAAACTGGAATCACTGCTGCTTCCAGGCAAGGAAAGTCCCTGGACCACTGACAGCAAAAAGAAGCAAAAGCCAGAACAGGAAACAAAATTGGAAAGAGTAAGACCCTTCTCTCTCCAGTTCTACAGCTTCCTGCAGTGCCCCCTGTTGGCAGATCCTTGCAGGGAGAGGCTGGCCAAGCCCAGGTGTAGTTTGCAGAGCCCTAGCCTATCTGGCAGACAGCAGGTAAGGAAGGGAGGCTGTGAAGCTGGGAGACAAAAGTTTAACAGACAGCACAAGTGCACACCACATGCCAGCACTGCATCAGCGCTCAAAGTCCTGAGTGTGACTGTTGCATCTCGGTTATAAAAGAGGCTGGTGTTCTTAGGGATGTTCACTGACATAAATAAAGGTAGAATGCCAAAGCCAAAAACTTGCTCCAACCTGGCTCTGCAAAAGATAGGTAGCTAGTCAGCACAGGAGTGGGAAACATTCACGTGCAGTGATATTCATGCTGTTCTAGCAGCTCTTCCTAAAGTTTGGGATTTTTTTTCCTAATATAAAATGGAGAAGAGTTGCTAAGACTCAGGCACTTGGAGAATCAAAAGCCAAAATACCTATTGTCCTCTGTCTCTGCATTGGCAGCGGGATCTCTCCCTGACAGCAGGGCAGCAGAGGATGCAGTTTACAAGGGGGTTTTTCCCTTTTGAAAGAAACAGGTATCATTGAATTCACAGTATATCACTGAACATGGGCCTGTACCTCCTCTGCCAAGAATTATGCATGCGGCAGCTACTCAGAACCAACCATCAGCCCCAGGGGTGAGGGGCTGGCAGGAAAGAGGGCGCTGTCTCCACTCTCATCCCTGTCTGCTCCCAGCACACCCCGGGCGCCCTGGAGGAGCCAGACTGGTGGCCTCTGGGCTCACATGAGACACAAACACTTTCATGGCAAGGACAAGATCCACTAGTGGCCCGGCGTACATGGCTGACCCCTCTACATTATGGGTGGAGAGCAGTGGTCCCTAAAAGACCCCCTGGGGTTGTGTCTCTGAGCCAGGAGCACCGGTGAGGTCACTGCTTGCCTGGCTCCACCTTGAGATGTCGTGGTTTTTTTCTGATTGCCCGGTCCGCCTGGAAAGCTGCAGGGAGGGTCCCGGCTTCTCTTACTGTCTGCACCTGGGCAGGATCCAAGCCAAGCGGAGGAGAAAGTCCCCAGAGAGACTCCCTCCCCAGCAGCCCCATCCTAGCCGGACACCACGTGACTCCGAGGGGCTGGCTGACGCCGGGCAGGAGCGGCCCACAGCTCTGGCAGCTGGAGCCCTTGGCCTGGCCGGCTCAGCTCCGCAGCCAGGGGCTAAGGCAGGCAGGACCCAGTGGTGAGTAGCACTGGTCAGGGCGGGCCTTGGGGTCAGTCCAGGAGCTCGGCTTTTCCTAGGCAGCCAAGCTTTTCGGCTGGCCGGGTGGGGGAGGGGAGGGTCGGGCAGCTCTGTGTCACTTCAGAGGGCAGAGGCTTTCCGGCGGATCCTCCATCCTCTGACCTGGGCTGTGTTCCAGGAGGGGAGCTCAGTTGAATAGCATCTCCCCCTCTGCTGGCTGTCTCCCCTGTGCTCCTCTGTGTCCCATGCCGGAGGTAGGGGCTGGACCTGATTCCAAGGAGAGTCAAGGAGAAAGCCACACCCCAGCACTTGTGCTGGACAGTGTCATGGCCCCTTGGTCCTGATGGTCCAAGGTGGGGCTTCCAAAGCCCATCTGCCAACAGCAGAACCACACCCACGCCCCTCCCAACTCTCCTGGGTTTGCTGGTGACAGAATCAAGGCTGGGCTCCTCCCTGTTCTGTCTCCCTCCCCTCCTTTCTGTCCCCTCCCCCTCAATGAGCTCCTCCACTCCTCCAGGCTTCTGTGACCCGGTGTGGGAACCCCACCTTCTGAGCCCCCTCCCAAGCCTACAGCTGGGCAGATGGTCCCACTCAGAGGCCCCAGCAGCAAGGCCCCAAGGAAGAGACCACTGAGCCATGCCCTCCCTGTCACCCACCCCAACCCTATCCTCCCCTGCTTCCTGTCTGACCTCCCCTCGCCCACTGCTCCCCCTACCCTGCCAATCCATTGCTTCTGTTCCTAGCTTTCCCTGGGGCCCATGTGACTGTGTCCTCCTGAGCCAGCTGTGGGAGGTCCTTGGCGGTACAGTCCCCTTTGGGTGCTCAAGGTAAGCAAGAAGCTAGCCTGGCAGAGGAGGGGTGCGAAGCCCCACATGGGAGTTCATTGAGCTGGGGAAGTCCACCCTGTCTTTGGGGGCCAGAGCTTCTCTGGGTCCTACAGGCTTCTCCGAGCTGTGTGGGCAGGACTGCACAGCTGGGATGGGAGGTCCCTGACAGTGTACTTAAGGTATTCCCAAACTGAACTCTGCCTCTCCCCTGGCTAGAGTGGGGCAACCCCACCAAACTTCCTGAGCAGGGGAGCATGTGTCTTGTTCTCGTTCCGATTGGGATGCCCATAGCAGGGATGCCCACAGCCCCAATCAGGGTCTCCTGACAGCTGCTAGCCCAAGCAGAGCCACGACACCAACCAGGCCCTCCATGGTCCTGCTGATGCCACACCCACCTTCCAGGGCTTCGGGTGTTGAGACAGAACATCCCAGCAGGAGTGAGGTTGTTTTTTTCCACCCAGGGCTTGACCCACCCTGAGGGCCCTGCAGGCTGAGAGATCCAGACTGGACCCAGGAGGACACAGCTTCCTGGGGTGGCAGGATCCAGGCTGCCTCTCCACTGAGTGGCCCCTCCGAGTCCTGTCATTTTACCTTGGTCTAGTTATGACAGCAGAGAATCTGCACTGGAAGAAGTGAGCAGGACCTGTGCCACCGTGCTCAATACATGGCCAGCTTCAGCCCTGAGTCCCATCCCTACCCTGTCGTCTACATCGCCACTGCCACTGCTACTCCTATCCTGGAGGGAGAGAGCAGGGGATTCAATCATGGCCTTGAAGTAGGAGCCAGCTTTGCACCACCCCTCCACCAAGTAACCAGAGGACTAGCCACAACTGAGGCAGGAGGGCGGCACCCAGGCGTCAGCCCTGACCACAGCCAGCCTCTGGGGAGAGGCAAGGCCCTGTCCCATCTTCCCAACTACAGGCACCAAGTGCTTGGAGCATTTGATGAGAATGGACAATCATGGGTGGGAGGCTGGGGACAGGTCACCACAGGTGATGCAATAGGACAGGTAGCTACATGGAGCTGGATGAAACAGGTAACCACAGGTGCCCAGCTGGGGACAGGTGACTACATTGGACCTAGGGCTGAGTTCCAGACAGCCCTGTAAGGTTCAGTATTTAGCTGTGTCACTGGGAAAGCTGGAGTAATGAGCTAGGCACCAGCTGAGGACCAGGTAGGGTTTGCAAAGCCAAACCCCTTCAGCACACAGGGCCCCAGAGAGCCGACCACCTCTGGGAAAGGGCAGCAGGAGGCTGGGGCCCCGTGCAACCACATGATCAGACAGGTCCCTCTTCTCCTCTTAGGGATAGAGGGTTATAGGTAGGGAAGAGGGAGCCTCCCAAGGCGTGAGAGGCTTGGAGTTCTGTCAAGGGGCAGCAAAGATATGGCCAAGGGGAGGGAGAAGGGGTTCTAGGTTTGTGAGCATGGCCACATAGTAGTCAAGCTGGGGGACCCAGAGCTCACTGGCCACAACCCCACTCAGAATGTCAAAGAAAATCCTGGACAAGCTGCGCGTGGTGGCGCACTCCTATAATCCAAGCACTTGGGAAGCTGAGGCAGCAGGATCGTTGCCAGTTTGAGACCAGCCTGGGCTACAAAGTGAGCTCAAGGCCAGCCTAAACTTCATAGGGAGACCCTATCTCAAAAACACCAAAAAAAAAAAAGAGAGAGAGAGAGAAAATCCTGGACAAGTTAAGGGCTGCTTTAAGATGATGACAAGTTGTCCCCCTAGGGTCACTCCACTCACTGGGCACAGCTCTGTCTCCTCTTTCAAAGGAGACCTGACTCAAGGATCAGTGGGAGCCACAGAGATCTCAACTCTCATTCCCACACCTCCCAGGCAATGTCTGCTTGGCCTGCTGGGACTTGCCCTGGATGACAGTGTGCGAGCTTTGTATGCCTTAGCATATCAGGAGACCCAGCTTCATGAGCCTTCAACAGGGAGGGAAGGGAAATCAGGTGACTGGAGTGGAAACAGAAGAAGGGTGCCTCCTGCAGTAGACCCCGCATGCACCAACCCCTGACTGTCCATCTCCTCAGAAGTGGGCAGGGCAAGGGCACAGTTTCCTGAGATGTCTTTCAAATCTCAGATGTCTTTGTCACTGCAGGGGTGCCAGAGACAGAACGAGCCCAGTGAGCACGCTCAGCCTCCCAGCCGCCCACCGACTTCGCACTTGGCTGATGATGGAGCCGAATGAAGCCCCACAGCACGTGGGTTCCTCCAACGCCGTCCAGGAAGACGTGGCCTTCAACCTGGCCATCCTGTCCCTCACCGAGCTCCTCAGCCTGGGTGGACTGCTGGGCAATGGTGTGGTCCTTTGGCTGCTCAGCTGCAACGCCTACCGGAACCCCTTCTCCATCTACCTCCTGGACGTGGCCTGCGCAGATCTCATCTTCCTCAGCTGCCACATGGTGGCTGTTGTGTCCGACTTGCTGCCTGGCCAGCTGGGCCTCCCAAGCTTCATCCAGACCAGCCTGGCCACACTCAGGTTCCTCTGCTACATCGTGAGCCTGAGCCTGCTGGCAGCCATCAGCACGGAACAGTGCCTGGCCACGTTCTTCCCGGCCTGGTACCTGTGCCGCCGCCCGCGCCACCTGACCACCTGTGTGTGCGCGCTCATCTGGGCTCTCTGCCTGCTTCTGGACCTGCTGCTTACGGGGGCCTGCACCTTGTTCCTCGGGGAGTCCAGCAGCCGCCTGTGCTGGACACTGTGGGTGGTGCTGGCCGCCCTGCTGGCTGCACTGTGCTGCGCCATGTGTGTGTCCAGCCTGCTCCTCCTGCTGCGGATGGAGCATGGTCCTCTGCGGCACCAGCCCCGTGGCTTCCCTGCCCTGGTCCTCCTGGCCGTCCTTCTCTTCCTCTTCTGTGGCCTGCCTTTCGGCATCTACTGGCTGTCCCGGAACCTGCACTGGCACATCCCCCACTACTTCTACCACCTTAGCTTTCTCACGGCGGGCATGCACAGTGCAGCCAAGCCTGCCATCTACTTCTGTCTGGGCAGCGCTCGTGGCCAGGGGCTGCGGGAACCCCTCCGACTGGTGCTTCAGCGGGCTCTGGGGGATGAAGCTGAGCTGGGGGCCAGGAGGGAGACCTCCCACAGGGGCCTCATGGAGGTGACTGCCTAGGCCCTGTGAGCGCTGACCACAGCTCCAGCCTGCAGGCCCTGGGGGAGGTGCTAGAGTGGGATCAGAAGACTTGGAAGGAGGACTTTGCTGATGACCTAGTCCCATTCCCTGTACCTTTCCCCTCCCAGTGCACCAGGCCCACAGGAAGTTGCTGGAAAGTCCAGATTGGAAACCAGGTACCTGGAGGACCTAGAATTGTCCTTTTGAGGAAACCTCTGGGTGCCTTCTCATACTCCAGAACTTGCAGGAGCTGCTGTGTTACATGCACATTCTTCTGATACAGAGAGGAGACAGGGAAGGGATAGGCAGGCAGGTTGCCCGCCAGGCAGCAGGCTCAGACCAACTTCCACTAGCTCATCCTCCCTCCCCTCCTGACAGCTGCAGGCATCTCCAGTGCACCTCAGTTCTCCTTGCCCCTCCCTCTGCTGCAGGCTACCAAGGTCCCAAAATAGTAGGCTGGCTTAGGAAGCCCTCAGCGGCTAAGCCACAGAAGAAAATGTCTTCCAGACCCTCAAACCACAGCCTACAAGCAGAGTCTGCCTGAATCCTATAGGGGGCCAAAAGCAGAGCAGGAGCCTGGTCCAGAGTGCAAGGGAGAAGCAGCCAAGTGAACACCGATAGAAGCCAGGGCAGGCCAAGACTCATCACTGCAGGACAGGACACAGATGCTACAGGGGCACAGTAGTTACAGTGCCTGGTGACAGGCCACGCCCACCTGGGCTCTTGTGAGGGGCTGCGGGTATGGAGCCTCAGGATGCCATCTGTCCCAGTGCTGCCCAAAGCCTAATGCCCTACACTGGACATAGTGGCCAGCAGTGTCCTTGTGACCATGTTATCATCAGTAGAGAAATGGCGACACCTCAAGCCTCAGTGAGCTCTCAGAGCAAGGCCTGGCGTGGACGGGGCAGCTTGAGGTTCCGCCCACATGGCTGCAGAGACTCCTCCACATTAACATTCCCTTGCAGGGGGAGGCATGGAAGGCTCAGGGATAGAATATTAGAATCCCATGGAGCTGCTGTTCAAGGCCGTGAGATGGGGCCTGGACATTGCAAACCTTGCCCAGGGCTTTGGAAAAGCTGGCAGCCATTGAGGTTCCCTGGACCCCAACGTGAAGCATATTGCATGGGCAGAGGGGCCATAGAAGGCAGGAGGCCCCTCAGTCCTGCCCACAGCTAGAGCAGCTGGAGCAATCCTGCGCACTGGCGGCAGCCCCACCCTCCAGGAGCCCAGCTCCTGAGCACCTGCATAGCTCCTCATCATGCCTCTGCCCCAGCAGGCTTCCCCACAGCAGGCAAGAGAGCTGCCCTAGTACAGACAGGGGGCACAGAGATGAACCCAGAGCCACCCACCCAGGAGTCTCTGCTCATGGCATGGGTAGCTAAGAGCAGGGCTCAGAGCCCACCAGCCTGTGCTGAACCTAGCTTGCTGCCACCTCCATGTCACTGTGGGTGAGTTAACCACCCTATGCCTCTGCTTCCTCATCTGTGAAGTGACTTCATATGTACAAAAAAGTTTGAATCCTATCTGGCATCTTGCAAGTCCCAATAGAGTTATTATGTCTGAACACTCCAGGTCCGGTGTGAATCTTAACCCAGACCGAGGTGCCTGAGAAGGGTCCCCTTTGACTCCTGTAAGAACCTCCATGTCTCAAGAAGGAAGGTCACTGGGTCTCAGTCATGATGGAGCTTATCGCTCTAACGCTGAGTCACAAACCCCTACCCAGCATGCTGGAGTCAGCTCCTCCACCCTGAACACTCTACGCAGGCAGTGCTGGGCTACATCCCGGCCTTTGCCCCAGGGTGCATCCTTGGCAGGTCTGGGTTCAGGAATCTTGGAGGCTGGGTTCACCAAGGGCCTTATCTCTTCCCGAAGCAACCCAAGAGCCTGCGTGGCCTCCCTCTCCACCTCCAGGACAGGATCATCACTTTGGGGAAATGAAACCAGAAGTAGTCTGTCCACAAATCCTACTCTTAGCTCTGGACACGCACTGCTGTCAGGCCCAGAAAGGACCAGGAGGAAAAATGCAAATTGATCTCATGGGTATTCATCTTGCCAAAGTCCTTTAGTAATGTGAAAGGGGTCCCATTTTATAGATGAGAACCCTGAGATTCAGAAGAGTTCAGTAACAGTTTGTGACTATCCAGAAGCTGTCAGTGCCTGAAAAGTCAGCCCCTGGATCCCTTTGTCCACACTCCCCACCTTGCTGGACTGCAGTTGACTCATGTGCCCCCAACCCCAGCTCCTCAGGCCCTTTTCCTCATCTGAGGTACAGATATATCTGAAACCCTCGGGACACACTATCCCAGAGAGCCTACCCTCAGCATGAAAGGATTTGAAGAAAGCTCTAAATTCCTCCCATCTGGCCTCATTGGAACGGAGTACCTTCCCTGGGGTCGGGGCAAAACTGCAGCCTCCTCTAAGGTCTCCAGGGAAAGAGCCCACGCCCTTCACCCCATCACAGGTGTGGCAGCAGGCGTGTGGCTTCACGGCCAAATTTTGCATAGACTCTGTCTGCTCAGCCCCCGTCTTAAGATCTGGCAGTCTGTGGGGCACTGGGACCAGGTGACTGTCCTCCAGGTCCAAAGCTGAGCCTTCAGGCCCCAGCCAGGTCAGCTCAGTCTTGACCCTCGTATTCCCCGCCCTGCCAGTACTAGCTCTCACCTCACCCCAGCATGATCCTGAGCCCAACTGTTCCAAGGCAGCCTCTTCCTAGGCTTTCAAGCAAAGCCAGATCTGGGGTGGCTCAGGGCCCAAGAAAGACACAGTCTGAGGGCCAGGCCAGTATCCACCCTGACCCACCTACCTCAGGACTCAGGACCCACTGGGGCTGTTCTGACAGGACAGAGTTCTTGCGAACAGGATGTCACTGCTGGGGCAGCCAAACATCCCAGGACGCCTCTGTGACTGTAGTACCCTACCCAGGCCCTGCAGAGAGCACTGTTGGGGGCTCCAGGCCTGTGTTTGCAAGGACAGGGAACAGGGCCTGGCAGCCAGTGGCCCAGGAAGACACCCCTCCCCACCTCCACCCTTGCTGTGCTCAGAGGCAAGTGTGAGCATTGTCCCTCCACTGGTCCTGCTTTCACTGTGGAGGCCTCCCTCACTCCTCAGCTATTTCCTGATCTTAGAAGTTGGAAAATAGAGTCGAACTGTCAGTCTGACGTGCGACATCAGCCTCGGTCTTGTGCTGTCACAAGCTGTGTTATCCTTTTACCACTAGAGTGTTGCAGCTCAGACACCGAGTCCCACCCACACTGCCCAGGCTTCAGGGATCCCGTGCTTCCAGCCCATGAGCCGTGAGGGTCTCTGCTTATCCATGCTGCTTCTTCATCACCTGGTATGTGGCCTCTAGACTGTGTCAGTCTCAGTTAATTTAATGACAGAGTGTTTTTTCTTCAAGCCATGGGGTCACATTAGTGACAAAAGCCAGGAGGCGCTGAGCCTCCTCTGCATTGGGCAGAGGCTCACAGGTGTAGCATGCAAGCTGTCACATTGCTTCTGAGGTAACCTGCAGCTGCAGGAGTCAGGGACGGACAGCAGGAGCCCCAGCCTGGAGGGGGCAGGACCCTCTGCTCCCGGAAGGAGGAGGAGCAGGGAGCAGGCAGCTCTTATAGTCCCCACTCCTCACCCAGAGAGACCTCCACTCCAGAAGCAGGAAGTTGGAGAGAGCTGGCCTTGGGCCCAGTTTCTCTCAACAGCTCCTCCTCCCTGTGTCAGCTGAGTGTTTGTTTTCTGCGTTCCTCTTCGTGCTCTGGCCCTTGGGGCTTCACTGACTGGAGGGAGGGACACACACACAGAGCAGCTCCTAGGGAGCCACTTCTTCCCATCTCTGCACCACTTCATCAGAACTCTGGGTGCCCTAGCCCTACCCTCATTTCTGCTGGGCGGGAACCAGATACCAGAGACAGCCCCCAGGCTTCAGAGCCCAGAGACCCTTCAAACCGGCCAATCCCAAGCCCTTACCCTCCTACCATCCCTTCCGATGAAAACCACAATCCCTTCTCTAGCCCCTGCCTCCCCACCTCTGCTCCTGACTGACCCCACTGCTTCCCCACGGCACCCTGCACATTGGTGTTTGGAAGCGACCGCTCTAGGCTTTGGGTCACCATCAGTTCCAGTGGCCCAAGGACAGCTTGAAGGCACTCAGATCTGTGAGTGCAGAGAGCTGGAGAGGGGGGCCCAGAGATGACATCACACCACGCAAGCATGGGGGGAGCATTGTTGGGAGCAGTAACACCTGGGTGCACCCATCAGGTGGGCCATGCAAATGTGGCATTTGGAAGTCAGGTGCAGTGGAACGGAGCCAGGAGTGGTGGCTCAACCTGGAGCCTCAGGCCGTGCAGAATGAATACACTACCTGGCACTGGCTGATGTACTGTGTTGAAGAAATGGTTTCCAAAGCCAAATTTCACTGAGAAATATGAGGGCAAACAGCACTTTTTTGGACACGATTTCTGATGTTCTGAGCACAAATGCTCTGTGTATTCCCAGTCAGGAATCACTAAACAAGGTCCCCAAAGGAGCCAAGGTCTTACCTAGAGAATTTCTAGTTCATCATTCTGCAGAAGAAAATTTGGAAAAGTATCCATCAAGGGCTGATACACCTGGTCTGTGCAGGCAGACAAATAGTTAGGGGCTGCTCTGGAAGGGGTGGGGCCACCTCTGCAGAATGTCCCTGGAAGTCCTGAGTCATTGTGGAAAAAGTCCCAAGTCAGCAGCTACTATACCCAGACACTAAGCGGTCCTAAATGGTCTCTCCAATGAGCAGAAGAAAAGAAACTGAGGCACAGAGAGGATAGGGTATTTTCTGAAGGCCACACAGACAAAAAGCATCAGGCCAGGAGCCACTTCCAGGTCTGCACTTATAGTTCTTGGCTCACAAGTGCCTCTGGAGATCCCATAGGATGCTAAGAGCTGCCTCACATCAGTGGAGCAGGTGGAAATATGGTCCATTACCGGCTAGACACACAGTTCCCTCCCAGGCTGTTTCCTCCCCTGCACAACCCAGGTGGGGTGAGGTCAGGGGCTGTGGTGGATTAATTAGTGGTCAAGTTGTAACACCCAGCTGAACTGAGTTAGCGTGGTGCTGGGTGTGGAAGGCCCATCTGAGGATTGTTGTCAATAGCATAAAAGGAGAACTAGAGGGGAAGATGGTGTGCTACTGATTCTCCTGGAGAAGCTTGTTGTGCTGGTTTTCCTGATATGAACTCAGCTGTTCTCATCACCGAAGGGGCTTGGGTGCTCGTGGTTGCTGAGGATGGCTTTGTTCTCTTTGGGGCAGCTCTGGTCCTTACCTTGAGCTTAGCTTTCTGGCTCCAATGCCAATCCTTCAGCATAGTGGCACAGATCCTTCATCCTGCTGGTGCAGACTTTCTAGCTCCCATCACTGACCTTTGGGCCTTCCCAGTGTGGATCTGTGATACAGACTTGAATGAGACATTGTCATGGGCTCTTGGCCTCCAGTTGGATTTGTTGTGGGGGTGCAGATTGCCATGGGCTCCAGGTCATCAGCTGGACTCACGCAAGACGTTGCTGTAGGATCCAGACCCACAGCTGGATTCTTTGGGTCTCAAGTGCATCGACAGATCTCCCACACTCTTTTGCATTTGACTCTTTGGGTGAATATTATGAAATAATCCTATAAATTACACTTTCTATATTAAATCCTTTCCCTTGTAAACCCTGACTATAACAAGGATTGGATTCCACTTGACATGACTGCATCCATCTTGAGCTGTAACCATCATGTCTGTCCTGAGTGACTCTAGTTGGGTTTCCTGCATATTTTCCCAGCAAGCTATAACACACAAAACCATAAGACTGATACACAGAGCTTTGCAACTGGACCCTTTGCAGGGATGTGCCCAATTCTTCAATGTTATCTTAAGATGGGTTACATTCCAGTCAGGATGAAATCACTTTTGTCCTGACCAATAACTATGCCCCTCTTTCTGACCCAAATTGCAAGCATCCAATTGGTCTTGCTGCCAGATAGGACTATGCTTTTGTCAGTAAGGCCCCAATAAATTTTACTCTGTGCAACCCTGGCCCCATCTGCCTCTCTTTCTTTGCTCTCAGAGCACCTTTGGTCTCACAGCACCTTGGACTCGGGTCTTATACACTAGGATCAGGCTGTTCTGAAGCAACTGAAAAGCCAGCTGGGAAATCTAAGAAACAGATAAGGGGAAGGAAGCATCTTGGGGAAAGTCATGAGCTGACCACCTAACTCCCTGTGGGAAAGGATGGTCATGTGTTAAATGCTTGCACCCTGCTTCATGAGTACCAGGACCCCCTGAAACCACTGGGTTCAGAGCAGCTGTTTGCTACCTGCCTCTTACCCTACTGCATCAGGAAATGCTGCGTTGTACTCCTGCAGAGGGAGGGCCATTGCTGTGGGCAGCTAGATTGAAAGAGATTTATGTCTGTCTACCTCCCCTTCAACCTCTAACCCAGCTGAGATTTGGAAATACAAGGCACAGAGTTAGACACTTGGACTTGCAATTCTGTGGAGCTGGAGTGGGGAAAGCTGGAAGATCTAAATGAGATGCAGAGAACTGGAGTCTTTGGGAGAGAGGGAATGAGGAAAACCTTGAAACTGAAGTGATACAGGATGGGCCCCCTGTCCATGAATCCAGCCTTTTCATTCCACCATTAGCACAATGAAAAGTAAAGACACAGCGTATGCATGTGATGGGACAGATACTCGGGTTTGTACTGCTACAGAGTTGGTGGATACTGCAAGACCTTGTGCGAGTCTAACTGCCTAACTGGTGAGACCCCAGGACATGGGCGGGACGGCATTCTTCTGGTGGTTAATGAAGCTGAGAAGCTGGGTACTCTTCTCTTTCACCTGTCCCTGATACAGCACCCACATGCCAGCCAGATCCAAGGAAACCATTCCCTCATGCGTTGGATCATTTTAAGCCAGAAAGAAGCATGGCCCAACAAGGGCCGTGAACCTGGTGCATGCCAGGCCAGGAACCCCATAGAGAGCACAAAGGAAGCCTAGGGAGTTCTGCCAGATTTGTGCATGTGACAGGTCACTTACCTACAGGTGACTTAAGGACCTAAAGACATTTGCATAGCTACAAGGAAAAACAAACTATTAAGAATGCCCCGGGGGACCCTTTCCTCTCTCTCTCTCTCTTCAGGATATTTGTGAGTGGGTGGAGCTACTGCTGATCTGGCCAGAACAAGGTACTACGCATCACAAAGCCTAACAGAAAAGCAAAACAAATAAAAGAGGAGAGAAAAGAAACAGGATCCAGTAAGGTAACTGGAAAGCAGGTGTGGTGTGATTGGCTTTGGGCTGACACCCAGAGAGAGACAGATGAGCTCCTCTGCATTCTGGGTCACCTTGTGGGGGAACAGCAGGAATTCCCATGTGCTGGCATTGTCAGCTGCTCTAAGTGGGCTCCCCCAATCCAATCCATGTAATTAAATGTTAGGCCAAGGTCACCACAGAGTTAGGGTCATGGAGGCTGCCAGTTCTCATTTAGAACTCAGCCCACCTGCAACGATAAGGGAAAGACCATTGCCCTGGTAAATCTGGTGCTGATTACACACTGATCACAGTACTCTAGAGTATATCCTGGGGCCCTGGCCAGTGACTGATAGGGATGGAGTGAGATCAGCAAAGTAAAACAAGGATTATTGAATCTAGGAGTTGGCAGAGGACCCTCTATTCCACATTTGGTGTTGATCTGGTCTCTGAGAACATTCTGGGGATGGATTTTCCATTAGGAGAGACATACCGACACTGAGGGGAGAGTGAGACTCCAAGTTCGGGTGGCAAAGTCAGTAGTGAAGAGGAAACACCTTGGGGGTCCTACTTGATGGACGTGGAATCACAGGGAATGGCAACACTGCCCAGGTGGTACAGCAGCCAGGTACACGTGCAAGAAGCAGAACATACAAGAATTAAGAGGAGATGGGACTTTTTAACCTGCCCAGTGCATCCTCAATAACCCTGTCTGGCCAAGAACAAAGCCAGATGTGACTTGAAGGATATCACCCACAGGAAATTAATTTTTGTTTTGATACCAGGAATCATACTGAGGACCTTGCACCTGCCAGGAGGGCACTTGTGCCACTGAGCTGTATCCCTGGCCTCCTTACAGGAAATTGAGTAAGGTGATCCCTCCTAACCACACTACAGAGGCGGACATGGCCCAGGTCTCAGAAGCAGCTGCCTCCTCCAAGCTCTGTGCATGCTGCTCTCGACTTGACTTGTTCCTTTCTAGCCTTCCTTTAAAGCTGGACTCACAAGACCAGTTGACCTTCACATGGAAGGGAAGACTGTGGACACTCCTTGGGACACTTACACAGCCCTCCTACCTGTCACAGCATGATGGATGGGGACGGTACTGTTCTCATTCCCTCCTGACGTGACCTGGTTCCACTGCACTGATAGCAACATGCTGCCAGTGGAGATGACACTCAGTGATGGGATATAATAGGATGCTGGTGCGCTTGTCCATGCACGAGGGGGTGGCCGTGCATGCAACAAAGCCAAGGCCTTACATATCCATAAGTCTCCTCACAAGGGTCTGGTCAGGTGAGACCTACTTCATTCCAGGCACAGCACAAGAACACATTCGTACCTACTTGTTCCCACTATGGGGCAGGATGCGCAGGATGCAGAGCTCCTGGCTCACTGGGGGCTTCCACTCCTTCTCTCATTCAGAGCCCACACTGGCCATCTCAGCTGATGGAGAAGGGACCGCAAGAGATGGGGACACTCCCCGGCATGTGAGAAAGCAAAGACTTTGATAGCCAGGTGCAGGCTCTGGACACCTGTGCAGTTAGACATCACTGGCACAGAAGGTGGCCTGAGCTGGGCTCTCTGGTAAGCAGGACAAGGGCTAAAGGCACCTCTAGGTATGTGGTGAGAGCTCTGGAAGGAGTTGAAAATAAATGCTCCACATCAGATCTACAGTGTACAGTGACCTTTACCAGTCACAGAGCAAACCGGTGTATCAGGAAGGGTGGGAGAATGGCCCTGTCCCTCCGGCTTCCATCCATGTAACACAGACCACACTACAGTGGAGCTGTCGCTGGGGTGAGCCCAGTACCTATGAAAATGCTTCAAACCTTGGACGGCTGGTGCAGAGGCCACACTTCCAAAAGCCAGGAATACAGACAGGGTCAGCAGGGAGCCCGAGCGCCTGAATTGCTGCTATAATACCAGAAGACACCAATACCCTCTGGCTTGAGAGGGGAGGAGATCTGAGCAACCACGGGCAGAGCTATGAGAGTGGTGACCATGACCATGAGTCATGGCTTCTGGTCATCCATAGTGACCATTTGGCAGTGTACTGGACTTCAGACTGCAGACAGAACGTGGCCACTGGAACAATGGGCTAGTGGCTGATGCAAGCCTTTCCTAGGGAGAAAGAGCTAATCAAACTGCCATTATCAAAGGCCTTGCTTGAGAAGCTCAGAGTGGTGTAGGGGCACCCGCACTGGTTGACAGTGAGTGATCGGGTAACCATTCCATAAGACATACCATCCAGGATTGGGTTCAAACACCTGATGGTACTCTTACCAGCCATGTAACCGGCAGGCAGTAAGTTGGTGGAGAAGAACAGCTTATTAGAGCAGCAGATGTTGGCCCTATTAGGCAAGCCTGCTTTGGCTGGCTACTCTGAAATCCACAGAGGAGTCTTGAGAAACATAAATACCCACAGGCTGGCAATCCTGCCCTTTATGAGGGCCTGGGGGCTCCAGGCCTGCCCAAAGGCCATTTTGTCCCAGCTGTGCAACCAGGTGATGTTCTTCCATAGTTGAAACACAGGCAGAAAACAGCACAGTGACCACACCACAAGGGGAGGGGGTAATTCAGTGGGGTTCAGGGTCTTGTCCTTGCCACAGTGTGAAGAAGCTCCAGCCCTCCTAACTCAGTCAGCGCTGATCCTGTTGAACTCTGGGCCTCATTCCTTGAATGGGCTGAAGGAAATCCCTCAGAGCACTGGAGTTGGCCTCCTAGTTGGGCATGAATTTCACCACTCACTTTAGGAATTGTGGACCCCGCTGTGATGCCATGATGTCTAACAGAGATGCTGCCCCCAGATTGTCTTCCTGAATGGTGCAGATGTACTTTGGCAAGTTCTCATCAAATATTTGGAGTTTTTCCCATAGTTCTGGACTTTCACTGAGCCTGCGGTCTCCTTTATTGCTCAGAAAACCAAGGTTCTCTTGCAATAGACTCATCTCGTCTCTCATGTGGGTGTGCCATGCTGTGATAGTGAACTGATTGGTCAACTTGAGTAAGAAACGCCCAACTAAATTGGATCAGCATAGTTCTGGGTGTGGCTGAAGGGATTTAATGAAAGCAGAAGACCCACCCAAGGTAGGCTTGTCACTTGAATGGTATAAAAGGGAAATTTTGGAGAAGGAAGGCTCCTTGCTGTTTCTACAGAGAAACTCTATGTCTTCTCCTTCACCTCAGATGTTGCCGCCCGGCTTCCAGAGCAGACTTTTCAGCCTGTCATCGCAGATCCTTTGCTCTCCTGGTACGGACTCACTCGGAATACTAAGGTGAGCTCCAGGCTTTCAATTGGATCTTTTGGATCTCCAAGGCACAGACAGATCTTCTGCACTTTTCCATACCCAACTCTGTGGGCAGCCATAGTAAGCCAATCTTGTAAATTCTTATATGTTTGTACCTCTTGCACTAAATCTGTTTCTCTAGTAAGCACTGAATGATACACATGCTTAGCACCTGAATGTCCGGACCTTTTTTTCCATTTCATCTGGACTACCTTGGTAGGTAACTCCTCTCCAAGGACAAGACTAAAATGTTCTAGATAAATGTATATTGGAGGCTTAGTGGAAACCACACACCCCAAACACCAGAGATATAGCCAATTACAATGTATCCCAGTGACCAATGACAAGTACTATAAGTAACATCAGCCATGGCTCTCCATTTACCTAGGTCACCATGGAAGAGCTGGAGTGGAATTATGCTAAACTTCAGGGGCAAAGACGCTAAGCACTCACATAAGGGGAGAGGAGCATATTTGGGACAGATGCATATGGATAGCCCCAGGTATGGGCCCTTGGATCAGCCAGCAGCACCATTAGGAATGAGTTAAATGTACCTCGATTTCTCTAGACCCGTGGCTGGGTACCAGCTGGTCAGTGTGGCAGCACACCGTGTCTTAAAGACAAGGATGGGTTTGCACCAATGAATGTGGTGGCCTGGTATTCACAGGCCTGCACCAAACAGGACCCAATGGCTGTGGGGAAAGAACAGGTTCCTGGTTATCCCAAGTTGGTTATTGCTGTGGACACTGCTTCCCAGCCAGACAAGTGAAGTAGTATCTGCCCACTTAATGCTAAGACTCCTCATAGGCTCAGGCTCATGACAGAAGAGAGGGCCGCAGAGGATTGTAAGAGCCCATCACAAGTGCGGGGCATATGGATTCAGCCACATATGACCACAGCCATCCTGAGTAACAGCCATGATTGCCTCAGAACAGCCCTAATAGGGTTTTCCTGCATAGTTTGCTGGTCAACTATAACACACTAAGCCATAAGGGTGGTATGTGAAGATTTATGACAGGCTCCTGGCTTCAGGGATGAGCCTGAGTCTTTGATATTATCTCAAGACAAATCAGAAACATTCCAGGCAAGATGAAGTCACGTTTGTTCTAAGCTATAAATATGTCCTTCTTTCTGACCCAACTAATAGACATCCAACTGCTTTGCTGCCGTGCAGGACCACACTTCTGCCAGTAAGTCCTCCGGTCAGTTGCGCGCTGTGCAGTCCTGCCTCTGTCTGCCTCTCTTCTCTGTCTCACAGTACCCTGGGGCTGTCCTAACACATGAAGACTGGGCTTTCCAAAACCACTCACGTGCTGGTCTTCCATTTCCCCTCTCCAGTGGCCGGAAGGAGGGAAGGGCCGCCCACAAGCACAGCCCATTTGAGCTCACTCCAAAGATTCCCGCGAATGGCCACTACACTCTCCTCCTTCCCAGGAGCTGACTGGGTGCTTTGGATCCAGCCAGTCAGGTCCCAGAGGAGAAGAGAGGATTTAGGGCCGGGGAGGAGTCTCCAGGCAGGGAGTGTGGGTCAAGAGAGCTAAAGACAGCTGCGGCCATCAGGTGATCAGTGGGTAAAGAGATTCGTTCCTCCACCTGCTCCTGAGGTGAGATGCTTCTCCTCCGTCCTCTGCAGCTCTCTTTTCTGGGCCCAGCTCTTGGAGGTGCACTGGGGCTGGGGGTTTCTTCTGGGAGGTGGAGGAGGGGGCAGGAGGGAGGTAAATACTGAGGGCAGCTCTGCGTCTGTGCAGGATACCAGACACTCGGATAACAATGGTGATACCCCATCCTAGAACTCTCTTTGTGCCTCCCCTCAGCATCTCATTCAGAGAGGTGCCACCCACACGTCCTGCTCTGCACTGGCCTTGACCTACCAGTTAAATGAGCAGGAGTGCAGTTTCTCTTGTGCACCTCAAGGAAACTGAGGCCAGAGAGGGGTAGAGTCTTATCCCGTGTCACCACCAGGACACCAGAGTGCGGCCAGGTCCCTGACTCCTAGGTCCTGAGATTCTGTGCTCTGACTCTGGTGTCAGAGCTTGGGAGTCAGGCACGGTCTCCATGAGGGTGGTGGGCGAGGATGCATGGTGTAAAGTGGGGTAGTCCGAGGGGACCAGGAGGCTACAGGAGGCCCAAGCCCATAACGGGAAGCAGAGCCATAAGAGGGGCTCACCCGGGTGAGTGGAGAGGTGGTAAGGGTGGTCCAGGTGGGGCACACAGTCCATGCCAAGGTGTGCCAAGGAGAAGGCAAAAGCCACATCAAGTTCCGTCTCTCTTTATCCCCTCTGTGTCTCTCCCCTCTATCTCTGTCTGTCTCTCTGTCTCTGCCTCCTTCTGTCTTCCCATTTCTCTCCCACCACTCCCCAACCCCGGTACCCTAAGTACCCCCAGCCTGGGTCCTGATGCCCCCAGCAGCATGTCCTCAGGGCTAAAACAGGGACTAGCATGGATGCTGTGGAGGGCAGGACAGGGAGGGGTTGCCCTGAGGCCCTCCCTCCTGCTCTGAGGGCATTCTGGGCAGGCCTACTCCTCGGTTACTCTAGCCAGCCACAAACACTCGTGTCTTTTTCCCCAAGAACCCCAACCCCATAGCTGGTCACTGTACTTGATTTGAGACTTCAGAGAGACCTCTGGAGCTGTGTTCCCTCTGTGACGCCTGGGGAAGGCCAGGGGTCCCCTCCACCCCTTAACCCCATCACTACATCTTTGCTCCTGCTGAGGCCCCAAAAGCTGTACCCACTGCAGGGCAGCATGCTCTGGGGGCTCATCACTAGGCACTGTCCAGCCAGAGACCCTCTGGGGTGGGAAGTCTTAGCAAGAATATGTTCCAGGTCTCAGGCTGGGAACCCCATGTGGGGTTCCTAGTTAGAGAGAATGGGGAGCCCCCCTGCATGTGGTCCCTGTGTGTCCTCTTTGTCTGTAGACAGCTGTCCAGTACATGGTGTGCCTCTGCATGTGCCTCACCAGGAAGGGACATTTGTCTGCCCAGCAGGGGAAAGTCAGGGATGGCCACCTGCATGTGTGACAGGCATTGGGCATGTGTGACTGGGAGTCCAGTTGGCTGAACACTGAGTGAAGTCACACAGAGCTGGGAGGGGGATGCACACCAGCACCAGGACAGCCCTCTACATGACCCCATTGGTCCGTACCTGTCACCCTCTGCAGGGTCCTTCCTATGCCTCAAAACCAGCCAAGATGTTCGGCTTCGACTTCTTCGGCTTCAATGTGTTCGGCCTGGACATGCTCAACATGTTCCAGCTCCCAAGCTACTTGGGCGGCTTCAGCAAAATCATCATCTACTGCACGCTGGCTGTGTCACTCCTGGGGGCCGTAGGCAACGGACTGGTGCTCTGGTACCTGGGCTTCCACATCAAGAAGCGCGCCCTCAACACTTATCTCCTGAACCTGGCTGCTGCCGACTTCCTGTTCCTCTCCTGCCAGGCAGGCTTCTGCATCAGCCATGTGATGCTGGGTAACTCCCAGAGCACGATGTTCTTCGCGGTTACCTTCCTGTGGTTCACAGCGGGGCTCTGGCTGCAGGGGGTCTTCTGCAGCGAGTGCTGTTTCTCCTACGCGTTCACCTCCTGCTGTAAGTGCAACCGTCCCAAGTGGACCTCGATTATCATCTGTGCCATGGTCTGGGTGATGAGCATGTCAGCTGTGCTAACGACGGCCAGGGCCTGTGGCATGTTGCAAGACGCGTTTCGCCTGGGGTCCTGCCTCCATTACCATGCTGCCAGCATCGCCTTGCTGGCGACCCTCATGATCACAGCGGGTGGGGCCAGCATGACCCTCTTCTGCCTGAGCTGCTGCAAACTGCGCCAGTTTCCCAAATTCTACCGCGTTGTCAAGACAACAGCGTCCCTGGTCGTCGTCTGTCGCCTGCCTTTCGTCCTCTATTGGAGCCTGCGGCCTATCCTAAACTTTCTGATGCCCATGTTCCTCCCTCTGGCCACCTTCCTGGCCTGCATCGACAGCACCTCCAGGCCCTTCATCTACTACGTCATGGGCCGGCAGCGCGGGAAGCGAGAGATGCCAGGGGTGATTCTGAAGAGAGCCCTGACAGAGCACACCCAGCAGAACACTGGAGGGATGTCGAGGGGGCTGTCTAGGGCGCTGGCTAGGGTGCGATCCCTGCCTTTGGTACGCGGCCGCCGCATCGTTAAAATTCACGCCGCTCCTGGGGGTCCTGCAGCGCGCCACCCTCCAGTAAGACGGTCCTTCAGTTTGCCACCCACCAACAAATTCTCGCGGTATTAAGATGGAGTAAGTTGTTACAATATAATTTTCCTTTTGGCCAATAATGCCGAAAACGCCTGGGATGGACCACCGCGCCCCACCCCCACTCCTGCCCCACTGCCTTTGGGCCTCGTGTAGGAGGGGCCAGGCCTCCCTCACCCTGCCGAGGTCACCCTGGCCTAGGGGACCCACGGACCTGCAGAGGATAAGAGACCAGGGAGACAGGCAGGTGCAGAGAGGAGAAACGTGGACACAGAGAGGATGTGCAAACTCCTCCCCAACCATGGCAGGTCACCATGGCCTACAGCAGAGCCCCCGTGCGGCTGGATGCAGTGGAGCTCAGGACTCTGGCTCCTGGGCAGATGCCCACCGACTCGCTCCCCGAACACTCGACTCTTCACTGAGGAGCCTCAGTTGAACTGCTCGTGTCTCCCCGTCTCATTCATGTATGCCCCCAAACTTCCGCGGTTCAGAGCCCACTCCTCTCCCACCTCACAGGGTGTATGCTCAGGGAGACCTGCCCAATTCTCCTTCCTGGTGTCACCAACAGAGACCACCAGGTGGCGTCGCTTGATCACCAAACAGACCTCTTTCCTGGCTGGGCCGTCCTCTCTGCACCTGCAGCCCACCTACTTTTCCCACCCTACTTCCTGCCCCGGACAGGGAAGGGCTCCTGCTGTGGACCCTATGTTAACCCTTCCCCCTCCCCAACTTGGTTCACCTGTGGCTAGTCCAGACTGGAGAGAGCAAGAAACAGACAGACAGAGATAGAGACAGAGACAGAGGCAGAGGCAGAGGCAGAGGCAGAGGCAGAGGCAGAGGCAGAGGCAGAGGCAGAGGCAGAGGCAGAGGCAGAGAGAGACACAGACTGAGAAAGAGGGAGACAGGTGGAGATAGACAGACAGAGAGACAGAGGAGCCAAGCTTCTGAAATACTAATCATCTTATAAAATTTCTGATTCTTTAAAATACACACATATCTCCCTTCCTCCGTGCACATTGTTAAAACATTGACCTGAACGTGGTGGCACATTCCTGTAATCAGCACTTCTGGGAGACAGGATAGAAAGTTTGAGCCCAACCTGGGCAAGACCCTATCTCAAAAAAAAATGGGGGGTAGGGGTGGGGCTGGGATTAGTTTGGTACTGAAAAATAAAGTCAAGGCCTACAGAAAATATTTATTGAAAAGATAAATTACCAACATCCTTTCTACCAGATGGACACATTTTTAGTGAAGAACAATTTGCTCATGTATTTTTGTAATAAAGACCCTCAGAAAATTCCTTTTATATTTTACTTTTTACCAAAATAAAGATATTGTAGCTCTGCAATAACTATTATAGCAAAATGTTTTACAACAATCTTCAAAATACTGGATACAGTTGTGGTTTTTTTCCATTGGAAGAATAATGTGTTATTGCTTATGATGGACACTGGAGAATGTTAAAAAGAGGAAAGAGAAAAAATTTACCTGTGGCCACCTGCCCCAGAGAAGCCAGGATGAATGACCTCTGCCCCTTCCCCAGACTGAGCTCTTTCGGGGGGAGTGACTCCAGCAGGTGATTGGGGACATGGGGCTCTGTTGATCTAGGGCCATGGTGGGCTCAGCGAGGGTAAGTGGAGGATCTCCAGCCCAGGTAGGTCAGGGAGGCTTGGCCCAGGGGGGCACCATGGGAAGAGTTGTCCCACGGGGGTGTGGCTCCCTTCCTGGAAGGCCTGGAGATGGAATAGGGGAAGCTTCAGAAGCAGGGCGCTCTGAGTCAGCCCCATCATCCATCCCAGTCCCAGGGGATAGCTGGGCGCCCTGTTTTCAGCTCCTCTGCCCAAGCCCCAAGGCCTCCTCACACCATGGCTTCACTTCCATTGCTGATAGTTATTTGTTTGCCTGCTCAGTGCCCCATGCAGGACATCTGTGTGCTGAGGGGGAGCAGGTGGGCAGCCCAGCAGCTGACAGCACCTGGGGCACATGACAAATAGCCCAGTCTAGACAGATGGGGAGCAGGGCTTCTGCCTCAGGACCTGCTGCTGGCGTTGGGGGGGCACCGGCCTGAGCCCACAGACAAACAGCGGTGACCCCTGTCCTTGAGAAGCTCATGCTCTGATGGAGGGCCTGGCTGTGGTGGTTAGTCCGCCTGCAGAGCTCTGGGCTGCTCCCTCTTGGCATCTCTCCGGCTGTGTGACATCCAGTCAGTTCCATGGCTTCTCAGAGCCAGGCCTGTGAAAGGAGGTGGGAAGCTCGCCTTGCCAGGAGGGTAGAGGCCAGGCCGTGGTGGAAGGCAGCCCACCGTAGCCCTCGGGGACAAAGGCACTGCTCTTCCCACCTGCAGCGCAGCAGATACACTCTGTTCTCAGCTTCTCTTGTGCACAACTGTCCCTGAGTCCCAAGGTTGCCACACTGCTCGGAACAGCTTCCTCACACCCTGGGCTTTGTTTCCTCAGTTTTTAGTCACATGTTCACTCTCTTAGTGCCTTGTCTCACACTAGAAAGAGAGCTGCTCACAGACACAGAGCCAGCCACCCTGTCATTGCTGTCATCCAGGAATGGGAAGAAGATGTGTTCACTGGATGGACAGGTAACCAGATGGATGGCTAGATGGGTGGATGGGTGGATGGGTGGATGGGTGGATGGGTGGATGGATGGATGGATGGATGGATGGATGGATGGATGGATGGGTAATTAATGAGGAATAAGGCTGGACAAATAAATGATACAGTCCTGAACTGTGGAAGCCCCTTGGCCAGCCCACAACTTGACCACTGATGTCAGGCAAGGGCCCAGGTTTGCTCACCATTGAGCCCAGCTGCTGGGGCCTCATCGTCCAAGGCAACTCCCTGCTGTGCACTGGGCATGGTATGCAACCTATGGACCTGCCATGGTGGCCACTGTCCCCAGGGAGCTCAACATCTGGAGAAGGGCGTAAAGGGTGAAGCAGCAGCACCAAGAAGTATGAGGAAACCCCATCCGAGAGCACAGCAAGAAAACTGAGGCAAGTGGAAAATGCCGGAGACAGATGTGGCAGTGCCATGATCAAGGAGTAGCGTTAACCCTGTTGCTCTTGGAGGGATTGTGACAAAGTTATGGAAACACCATAAAGACGCCAAGCTATCAGCAGGGTGGAAGGATGGGCCAGCAGGGCCAGGCCAGGCCAGGCCAGGCAAAGGGACTTGCAGTTACGAATTCAGGAAGCTGCTGCTGTCATTCAGGGAATGGACGGGACAGTGGGTGCTGAGAGTGTGGGTGGATAAGATGTGCGGTGGAGCAAGATGACGTTGGGATGGGGAGAGGCCAAGGCCTGTGGGTGGGAGAGAAGCCACTGCTCAGAGCAGAGAAATGCAGTCATGAGAAGAGGCTGTGAGCAGCTGGCCCAGGGAGGGGACAAGGACAATCAGGGGACAGTGGGAAAATTCCCAAGTTTGCATCCCCAAGCGTTCAGCTCAAGTAAACATAAATGGGGAGAGAGACCCATCCAGGTTCGTTTTGTGTGTTTCTTTCCCGCGTGAATCTCCAGTTCCCATGGAATTGCGTCTGAGTCTCCGCTGTAAACTGACTGCTTGGGTGCACTGAGTCTAACTGTAGCTTTATGTTAAGTTATGAAATCGGGTGGTATAAATCATGTGGTTTTCTATTTCTCCAAGATGCACATCTCTACATAAATTTTAGAGCCACCCGACAATTTCTCCAGAAGTCTACTTGTCAGAAATTGAGTAATTCCTTCGACTCTATTTTTCTAGGCAAATTTATGGAGGACTGACATCTTCACAACATTCATTTCCTGACTTATGAACATGCTTTATCCCTCTATTTTGATCTTCTTTGATTTCTGCCAGCTATTTTTTGTGGTTTTCAGTGCATATCTTTTGTAAGAGTCACTCTAAGGTATTTGAGGAGTCTTGGTGCTATGTAAAAATGAACTATTAATTTCATTTTTCAATGGTTTATTATAATTTATTGGATTTTTATATTGATTTTGATGTTTTATATTCATGTAACTATCCTTCCAACTTGATAACATATGCAACAATTCCCATCCACTCCCAGTTTTCTGAGAGCTTTTTAAATCTCATACAATTATTGATTGTATCAACTGCTTATTTCCTTCATTTATTAAGATGATCATATGATATCCTCTCTTTAGTCTATTAATGGGGTACATTACATGATTTTTTTTTTTTTTGGTGGTACTGGACATTGTACCCAGGGCCTTAGCACTGAGATAGGTACCTAGCTCTTTTTATTTTGAGACAGGGTCTCACTAAGTTGTCCAGGCTGGGGTCAAAGTTGCAATCTTCCTGCCTCAGCCTCTCAGAGCACTGAGATTACAGGTGTGTGTCACTGTCCCAGGCTTTGATTTTTTTTTTTTTTTGATGTTCCTCTTTATTCCTTTGTCATGATATATAATCTTTTCTAAATGTTTCAGGTTTTCTTTGCTAATATTTTTATGGTGGTGGGAGTGTGTGAAGGGGGAGGATGCTCACCTCATGATGTCAAAGAGCAAAAAGAGAGAGAGGAGGGGCCTGGGGAACAAGTGTGCCCCCAGGAGACCTACTTCCAGTAAGCAGGCCCCACCTCCTGCAGTTCCCACCACCTCACAATAATCAATTCAATTCCAAACCCAGCAATGGATTAATCTATGGATGAAAACATAGTCTAATCACTTCCTCTGAAGCCCCACCTCTGAACACTACTGCACTTAGGTCAAGCCATCAACACGTGGGCCTTTGGGAGACATTCCAGGCCCAAAGTACAGTGCCCTTCCTTCCCCTCATCTGTCGGTACTTCCTCCAGGAAGCCTTTACAGCCACCGGCAGCACTCATGTCCTCTTTCTGTGGGCTCCAGTTTGTGAGCAAGCTACCTGGCAGGACAAATGGATGTGAGACTGGAAAAAAACTGCTCTGAGCCCTCAGCCTGGGTGTCCCCCAGCCTCATGCTCCATCCTGGCATCCCATCTACCAGTTGAAACATACCAGCAAGAGCTCCCTGTCTGTCTGCACTGACTACCCTCTGTGCCCAGGCACCAGGGCAGGGCTTGGAGAGGAGAGACCACTCCACTCCTCCAAACTTACTGTTTAGAGCTCCTGCAGGGAAACTTCAGGCCTCAAAACCACTTGGCATCTCCAGTGGGTATCAGAGAGCCCTCCTTGCCTGAGAGGTCACCAGATGTAGCACATGAAGGGAAGGCCTTGGGTCAACCTGGCAATGGTCCCAGCCCAAACCCATGGAGCCTGCAGATGGGCACCTTTCCTGGCATGCACGGCAGTTGAAATATTTTTTAAAATAAGTTGCTAGCAATGAACAAAGAAGTGATTTTGGTAAGAATCAAGGTTTTGTCTCTCTTGAATGCCACAGGCTGGCAAGCCTGGCCACATGGGAGGTGCTGTGGAAGGGCCAGGGCTCTGGGCGAATCTGGGCCACTTTCCATGGTTTCTCCTCCAGGGTCACCTGAGTCCCGGGCCACTGCACTACACCACTGTCTTCTAGGCTGAAGATGAAGCAAGTGAAATTTTGCCCCCATTTTTGTGAAAAGAAGAAACAAGCCCAGAAGTCCTGTGTTTCAAGAAAAATGGCACAGCCTATTTCTTTGTGGCTGTGGCCAGGAGTTCCTCATGTGGAATGTACAACAAAATATGTTGCTGGGAATGTCTGCCGGGATGAGTTCTCTCCCTTGGTCTGAGCCATGTCATTCTACAAGAGGAGAAACTGAGGTCCAGGCAAGGTGAGATCTGCCCAAAGTTACACAGCTGGGCAGTGGCAGATCCCGCTCCCAGCAGTGATGGAGCCAGGGCCTCACCCAAGGC